CCAAGCTGGATGGAGCCAAGACTCAACCTTCCAGGTCACTGCAGTAACAAAACGAGACGGAGGCAAAAAAACGGCGTATAAACAAAACTGAAAAGCTGAAAGAATTAACTGAGTATCTTTGCCTTCTCTATGTACTCACGATTTTTGTGATCAGTCCAGACCAAGAAGGAGTATTCTGTCCCCTCCAGCCAATGTCTCCACTCCTCCATCGCCGCCTTCATGTTCACAGTTTCTTTCTGAACAGGACAATATTCTGGAAAGAATAGCAAAGGAGTGAAAGCTATTGTTCTTCACAGCTCGCTGAGATCCAACTCCAAAAATAAACTGGCAGTGAGGATGTGGTAGTGTGAGGTTAGAGACAGGTGTGAACACGTCTTATAAACCACTCAGGTCTTACATTCTTTGATGCAGAGGAGCTGAACTGGAGTAAAGGTCATGAATAAACCTTCAGTAAAAATTTGCAAAATCAAGGAATCTTTGCAGCTGCATGTGGCTGAAGGTTATGGACCTCTCAGTCATGGCACTAAGTTTAACTGGAGCCATCTTTACCTCACTCTCAGAAATGATCAAACTAAGGAAGGAAACTGTGGACATCACCCTTTTCAGTCTTGCCAAGGAGTCAATGGAGCACTTCACTGACCTGTCTGTTCACCAGAGAAGAAAATCATCAAGATAAACAAAGACATATTGACAAGATCTCAATATGTCCCATAATTTACTGGGGCCTGAAAAAACAGAAGTGCACTGGTCAATTCAATAGACATTTCTAAATACTCATAATGAACACAGGTGTGTTAAGATTTTCTCATACTCTCACTAGATGGTAGCAATGCGCAAGTCCAGCTTTGTGAACATTTTTGCACCATGCAGCAGTTCGAGAGTTGTAGAGAGAAGAAGAAGTAGGTCCCTGTTGCTTGTTGTCCCAATGACCAAGGGCAATCTTCTTGGTCATTGGTGTCTTCCTTAGAAGAAATTATTGTATCTGAAGAGGAGGAAGCGTCAGAGAAACCACAGTTTTTTCTGCAATCCACGTGCCATAAGAGAATCCGTTCAGATGCCCGATCCATCTGGAGGTTGTGCTTGGCCAATCAGTAAAACTTGTGTTCTCTGATCACTTATGTTGATTTAATTTACATTCGGCTTGTTATACGTCTACAGGTGACGATGGAGAGTCTCAAACCAACGTTCATCCGTTTTGTCTCATGAGCCCAAGACCAAGACAGAGACCAGGAAACAACAGGTCACGTCAGTTTTTGTCTCAAGACTGGTCTCCAGCCATTCAGCCCAGAAGCTCAAACCTTAATGTCTCAGTCACAACTTTTATAGGATATGTTATCGGATATGTTGTGTTACATGAATGAATTTTGCTCAGGCTACAAATCTGAGATGAAGAGGGGAAACTAATTACTGAGATGCAGACTCCTACAGAAACAAGCAAACAAAAGTCCTCTAAATGCAGGCAGAGAAATGAGAGGCTGATGCTACATAACAGAATTTTGAGGTGGCACTCAGCTCAATACAAACACAGCCAGGGGCAGAGTGCAGCAAGGCTGAGTCCTGAACTGCACAAAGGCCTTGTGTTCCGTCAAAGTGCAGCATTCTTCCTGCCGGCCATCTTCCCTGATCAACAAAAATCAGTTTTATCACTGAAACAGTTCCAGAGAGGACTGTTGGTCTGCTGTGTGTCAGTACTTTCACTGTTTTGAATCCATTTGCAGTCCAAAATCAGATTTTTCAAGCCAATAAATCCAATTTTTCATCAGTGCACAATTTTTCAATCAAAAGTCTGTTCGGCTTCTTTTTAAAATGTAGCATTCTTGAGAAACTCTGTATTTCAGCCTAATGGTGTCAATTTGCAAGACAACGCAAAAAGTTATTTTCCTTTTAACAAGGCTGAGGCAAACATCTAGAACTTTTTTCTTCTGTTCCCTCATGAGAACAGCTGAGGTGCACAAACAGCAAGTGGCGATGACGACACCACAGAGTTAACTTTCATTACATGTTGCTGCTGGATGTCTTGTATTTAAAGCCTTCATGCAAGGAGATCTCTGTCAACAGGCTGTTTAAAACTCCTTACGCTGGAGCAGAATCAGTGGTTTTTAAATTGCTGCATTTCATCTGAGCATTTTGGTTTGACTTTCATTTTTATTCTTTTTAAAGGGAAGTGTTTTTTGTAGTAATATTTTGACATAATGCAACAAAGTTGTTGCCCATTTCTTTAAAAGGAAAATGCCTAATAACAGCTCTGCTGCTGTTGCCTCTGTCCAGCAGCAGATAAGCTTCGGTGTTTTGCTCATTCAGATTTTGGTGGGTATTTTTCTGTGCGTCAACATGTTGCTCATTGTGACGTTTTTCAAGAAGGAGTGCTTCCACACCAGCGCTCGGTATATTTTATTTGCTGTGATGTTGATGTCGGACAGTTTTGTGCTAATCCTATCTAACGTTTTGGTAATTATAAACTCTCTTCAGTTCAGCATACAGGTGTGGTTGTGTACCGTCATTTCCATTGTCACGTTGCTCTATGTCATGGCCACACCTGTGACTCTGACAGCTATGACTCTGGAGCGTTACGTGGCCATTTGCCTGCCGCTGCGGCATGCGGAGCTCTGCTCCACACGCAGGTCAGTGCACTGCATCCTCGTCATTCACTGCATCAGCTCCGTTCCCTCCATGTTGAATCTCTCCATATTCTTCGCAACGGCGTCGTTGGGCTTTTACCAACAGAGAGCGTTGTGTTCAGTGGACATGTTCATTTTGCATCCGTGGCAGCGTCACTTTAGGTCCGCCATAAGTCAAGCCTATTTTTTCATCATGTGCACAATCTTAGTTTTCTGCTATATTCAGATTGTCAAAGTGGCCAAAGCTGCGTCTGGAGAGAACAAACAGTCGACACACAGAGGAATGAGAACGGTGATTCTTCACGCCTTCCAGCTGCTGCTCTGCCTCATCCTGCTCTGGAACCCGTTCACTGAAGCTGCTGCACTTAAAGTTGATGTGAAGTTATTTTTGAATATCCGATACTTTAACTACATAGTATTCAGTCTGGCACCGAGATGTCTGAGTCCTCTGGTTTATGGGCTCAGGGATGAAATGTTTTTTCTTGCACTTAAAAATTATATTTGCTTCTGTTTTTGTAAAAAAAATTGCAGTCTGAGTTAAATTACGTACAAGTACAGAAATTATTGAATTATATTATTACTTTTATGCTGTGTGGTTTTGCTTTCATTTTTATGCATAAATTGATCTAAATTGTAAGAAATGAACTTGTTAAAAGTTTTAAATTAAAATAACATTCCTAAATCTTTTCTCCCATGAGTTGCTTGCATGTATCTAATTAAGTTTTAAGTCTAATTAAGTATCAGTTAATACAGTGCTACATTTGAAATACAATGAAATACAGTGCATCTATGTACAATTACTCCAGCATAATAGGTAATTCTATTATTTACTTTTGCTGCTAAAATAAGAAAGCAATTATCTTTGGCTTCATGTTAGATGGACTTTTAATTGCAGAAATAGGATGAAACAAAATGTACTGCAATCTTTTTTAAAAGTGTATATACATCACAATAAAGTTCACTCTCTTTTAAAAAAATAATAATTGTGAAATCTGTAATACAGTTAAAATTTTTCCACAAATAAAAATGAACCAAAAAACTGAATCCAAAACATTTCAATCAAATAGCCTGTTTTGGATCAATTGCTCCGTCAACATGATCAAATCATCACAGCTTCGGGGAAATGAGGAAAAAGTAGCTTGTGACTAAAAAAAAACATCCCCACAACAGTGTTTTTTAAAAACTTTTTAAAACATCTTTTTATTTTTTCAAAAATAACAAAGATGATAAACATAGTAGAAAAAACATTCTTGCCACAGCAAAACATCAGATTTTGTTCTCTTCTATCTCCATGTTCATCACTGATGATTTCATTGTACAATTCAAATAAATAACTTAGGTGATACAGTAGATAATGCTTAAGAAAATGATATTTAATCTATTTCAATCTGGAAATTTGTTCTTCCTTGTAAACATAAATACATACAATCTACACAATGCTACAGAATCCAGATGAAGTTAAGATGAAGAGAAAACAAAACGTTTAATAAATGAACGTTTCAGAAGGAAATCAGTTGCACTTTGACATGGCTGGTTGACTCAGTCCTCCCGTAGATATCCTCATGCACCTCACTCTCTCGCACCTCGCTCCTCGCTGCCCTCCAGAAAAGCTGAATATTCGGCCATTCGCTGGATCTCCTCCACTTTAGTCTCGGCCAGCTTCTTATCTGCCTCTGATGACAGTTTCCGCGCCTCCTCCACTTGCGACTGGGCCACCTGAATATTTGTTTGGACCAGGATGGACGCCTGATGGGCTCCTGCAAAATCATAGACCCAAACATGGACATCATTTCCTGAACAATGTGGAAATGGTGAAAGTACATATTTAAATGTTGACTACGCTGCTCTAATTTCCCTCACCTGAGGAATATGCTGCCTCAGCTGCATTTTAGAGAGGTTGACGCATTAATCCAGTGGAGTCATAATGCTTACATTCATTCAGTCTCTCAGCTGCCTGTCAGGACACATACAAGAAATAATCAACATAACAAATACATGTTTCTGCAAGAGACAAACATGTCAGAAGTGTATTCAGATCTTTTCCAAAGACCTTTTCTCAGGCCTACCTCTGAACGCCAGCCACTGATCGCCCGCCGAAGGGATTCCTCCTCTGATGGACTCATCTTGCCCAGAGATGCAAGATATCTCTTTTGGAAAATGATCGTGAGTGCACAGCCTTTTGAAAGAAGCCAAACAGGAGCAGGTTGAATATTCCTGTGATGAATCAACCCCAACAGTTTGGACATTTCATGCAAATGCAGAATGAATGTCTACCTTTGAATAGTCTGTCAGTGCATCTGTGAGAGCCAAGGTGGCCTGAGAGAGGAAAGAGCTGGAGCTGTCTGTCACACTGAGGCAGCTCTCCTGATCAAGAGTGATGGGAAGATCCTCAACCTGCTGCAAAAAAAGAACAGTAGTCTTAATATGTTTCTTCTTGGAAGGTATGATGAACTTTTATTTTTACAGTTTTCACATTGAGTCTTTGACTCACCCAAAGCCCATGGCCGACACTTAATGAGGCCATGCTGATGTGAGTCGGGTTTGTCAGCTCTCCTGGTTTCTGTGCTCCATTCTATTATCAGTCGTACTGCAGAAGGAAATGATACAAGAAATGCTTAGAGATCTAAAGTCACAGACAACAAATAATTGAAATTATTACTGTTTCATGTTAACAAAGCAACTCACCTGAGGTAACGGATGCAGGCTGCACCTCTCCTCTGCAGCAGGGAAACCTCTTGGTTTCGTACCAGTCCTCCTGCAGCACGTTTTGCACAAGCTGAACACTGACGAATGGCTTGCATCTTGAAGAGTTTCGCTTTAGCTGCTCTAGCTGACTCTTTTTAAGAATTGTTGAGCGATAAGTGCTGATTTTCTGTCTTCAACAAAGTAAAAAAAAAAGTCCTGGTGACTTATTGATGGCTTGTCTTTGTGGAATGAAGAAAAGAATCCAGAAAGTTTGGAGTTAGTTGAGTGAATGTTGACAGTTCCACCCTGAGGATATTTATAAGGCGTCAGCCCCTGTTGATTACGTAAAAGGTATTGATCTGCTGACACAGCTTGCAAATGTACGTATTTGGCTCTATCTAAAGTCCTTCTGATACGTGCAGGACAGAGGCGGGTAGTGACTTTGGACAACACTTTTCCTGTTCGTTGCACTTTATTCTCTGTGCTCCTCTTGCTGCTCACTTCTGGAGGTTGGATCCGATCAGGCCGAAAAAAATCTAGCATAATCAAGTCCAAGCTTGTAGACGTTGTGTCTGATGCCAATCCAACCTAAGTAATTATGCTTCGCATACAATCCCTTTAGAACCTGGCCTCCATCTACCAGATAAATAAATATTTTCACACAGAAGTTCCAAAGAAGTAAATAGAAACAAGAGTACTATTAAAAACGATAGGAATTATAATATTCTGTACAAAATAATGAAATAAAAAAATGCACAGTTACAATAATAGACATAATCATAAGTCAAGAGATCCCATCTGAGTAGGATAAATGAAAGTACAATCTCAGTGTCAAATCACACGTTCCAACATGATCTGATCTTTAGTTTCTTATCAAATCTTTTACATTTAAATCTAACCTCAAGTTACCTTGCTGCAAAGTAAAAGAAAAAGGGTTTTCTTAGTGCCACTCACTGCAAATTGAATTCAAGTGAAAAAGATGCCACTGGGAATAAGTCAACCAAGTCGTCTTCCAAGGAATTGCTGAACGTTGTGAAATTGACTTTTGTGTTTGTCTTTTTTTCTGTGTCATTTCATGTACAAGCAAGAATTTTGTTGATTTGAAGAGCGTAAATTTTGTCTTCCAGCCAAAATTCAGAATGAACTCTGAATGTTTGGACAGGTTGCAGTCCAGCCCCTGTCCATCCCTTTTTACTGACGCAGAATGGACGTAAAGAGCTGACGAAACCCAGCAAACACGCTCTAAACTCTGCTTGCTTACATAACGGGTTACGTCTCTGGGTTAAACCTCCAGGTTGAACAACTGAGCCCCAGAGATTCATGGTAATCAGTTGGAATCTGACGACTCAAGATTTATTCCAACTGTGGGGAATTTACCAAACTATTGAGCTCCTCTCTATCTTCTTTGGGCATTTCTTGGCTGATTGAATCACCTTCTTTCACGTAGCTGTGTGGAAAATGGCCCAAGAAGATAATGCAGTGCACCAAAGTGCTTTTTGAAATGCTCCAGAGACCAGGGAACAATCTCAAACTTTGGTGTTTCAGTCACACTATTTACTGAGTGTATATGATACGTTATGCTACATGGATGACGTTTGGTCATTCTATAGCTGCTGAGGTTAGCAGCAGACCATCCCCACTATGAACAGTGTTGGTGCTGTACTGCTTCCCCCTCCTGAGACGCCAGATGATGGAACAGAATCGCCCTGAAGTCATGCGAAAGTCTTTCTCTATGGCCCAAACACGCCCCAGTTTGGGTCAGGTGCAACTACATTGCACCTGACCCATTAGGTGAACCCACATCTCCTCTTTGGGTTCTGCTGGACTCCGTGGAATAAAGTTTGGCTCTCGCCAACAATCCCCTTCTCAATACCTGGCTTCAGATAGGGGCCCCAGTTACCCGCTTCCAGGCAAAGGAACACTGTTTTCAATGATTGTGTGCATGATAAGGGGTCTTTGGCCTGCACTTTGTCTGGTTCCACACCTACAGCATGTCTGCCATGGGGGTGACCCAACCAGGGGCCTGAAGCCCCCTGGCAGCATATCTACTCGGATCACAGGGACACTCAAACCCAGTTCCAGCCCATGAAGGGACTGCTTGGATTTACGCTTGATATTATTTTGCTTCAGTTGTGATTTTCAATCTTTGAAAAAAAATCCTATATTTTTCTGCTGCTTTATTCTTAAAATAAGAAATACATCAGTCTCTTGTTACTTTGCCAGATAAAAAAAAGTTTATTGTTATCTGGCATGAATTTGTGATAAAATTCCTTTCAGAAGGTAATGTGCAAGGTTTTCAAAGAAGAATATCATATAGAGTCACTTGGCCATGGGGGTGTGGCTCCAGAGGAATCAAGTCTAAGCCTATATATTGGAACGTGTTGGCTTAGACTTTTCAGTTAAGACGGAGATTCATCCTGACATGTTTCTCTACAAAGACACCATGAAAAGTAAAACGCTGTAAGCTCTTCTGCCTGATAAAGGCATTAATAGGTGAGTGAAGTACGGTCAATAGTAAAATGTCGAGCGTTAACAGATTGTACGTTGTATTTTTATACTCTTTCTGTGTCAACTGAAACTTACCGTTTTGCTACTGTTTTTCTGAAACTGGAACTATTTGTTCACAGCAGCAAAATGCAGAATGGGACTGAACTTTCTGTCAATGAAACTTCCTCAAAAAGCTTCTCTGTGATCATCAAGGTGTGTGTGGTGATCCCGTTGTTCTGCGTCTTCCTGTGCTTCATCGCCGTCATGCTGCAGATCTTTGCCTCTCACAGACAGTTTTTGGACACTTCCCGTTACATCCTGTTTGCACACATGCTGATCAACGACACCCTGCAGATCCTATCCTCTGTGTTACTCTTCCTCTGTGTGATGGGTCGGGTCAACTTACCTCTTCTGTTCTGTGTCCCTCTGCTCTTTGTATCTACCGGTACCTTCCAGAACACCACTTTGATTCTGGCTGCCATGTCACTGGAGCGTTATGTTTCCATTTTCTACCCTCTGCAGCGCCCGGCCTCCTGGCGCTCAGACCGTATCTGGATCATTACTCTGCCTCTGTGGATCATCAGCTTCACTTTCCCCATTATTGAGTTTTCCATCGGGAAGTACAGTCCCAATGTAGATGTCCTCACTACAAACATGCTTTGCAAAGCTACTGTTATTAACTCATCCCCGATGCAGGGACTGTATCGGCTTGCTGTTTCTGTGCTTTTCTTTGCAGTGGTAAGTGTTGTCATCCTCTTCACCTATGTGAGGATTGTGATGGAAACCAGGAAGATGCGGCAGGACAGAGCTTCAGTGAGCAAAGCCAGGCACACTGTGCTGCTGCACGGCTTCCAGCTGCTGCTGTGCTTGCTGGCGTTTACTCAGCCTATTGCTGAAACTCTCATTGGACTCCACACAAACTGGCCGGCTGAGGATGTCGCCTTTTTCAATTATTTCTGCTTCATCCTGATGCCTCGCTTCCTCAGCCCGCTCATTTATGGCTTCAGAGATCAGAGTCTGAGAAAGCACATTGGGAAAAGATTCCTCTGCTGCTCACAGAATAGAAAACTCTTTTTCAAATAGTGACACTGGCAAAAATCATTTAACAAGATTCAGACCACAAACACTTCTGAACATTTTTTAACCAGTTTTTTGTTATGCACAGTTAATATTTAATAAGATGTTTTCCCAAACTCATAAAATATGCATGAATTTTTCAACTCTGAAATTGATGTATGATCACAGCAGAAGCAAAGAAAAATAAGTGGTGTAGCTGTGCAGAAATATGGATCTGAAATGAAAATGTAATTTACAAAGACATTAACATTTTTCTGTTTTTGCAAATTGTCAACATGTTCCTTCACAATTTAATCCTGACATATTGCCACCTTTTCAAAATAATGGCCTAAGTAATTTTTGACAAGTGATTTTTTTTGTTGTTGCCTACATCGTATTTTCGTACCGAAGAAGCAATGATGTCTCTTTTTAATTGTTTTGCCAAAATCATAGAAGAAAAAATGACAGGAGATGATTTCTTTCATTTCCAGATGAGAAGAACTGAAACATAAATTTTGCAGATGGAGACATTTTGAGGAAATTATTTCAAATATGAAATTTGTTAAAAAAAAATATATCACAACCTACGTATTTTATTCCACCAAACATTTAAAATTCTGATTTCTAATTTGCCCTCAAATGCAGCATTGGTTCTCTTTTGCTCTTGACAATAGGAAATGACTTTTTAAATGCTTCATTGTGTGAAAAACATCCTGTAAATTGATTGTGTCATGTTTTTGAAGTAAAATCCTCTTACAATGTTGCTGCTCCATCACTGTATTTCAATAGAAATACTGTAAAAATGTTCTTCATAAGTTGTTTCATGCTTCCTATTCCTTTTCAAACAGAAAAGTAGTAGTAAACAAATGATTTTGTTCTTGGTTATGTATGCACATGCATTTCGCTGCTTGTTTGTATTGGTTGTTTAATTGTTTTTAAAAGCCTGTTTGAAATAGTTTAAATTTGTGCTTGAAGAAAGTTCAGCGTCATCTATGTGACCTACAGACGAGTGGAAATCCACCAAGGTAGAGTAGCTGGTGAAATGCTCATTAAAAACTTTATGAAAAGATCAAATTGAGCTGTTTTATTTTAGAAGAGGTCTTGTTGAAGCATGCAACAAGGTGGTGCAGGGATAAACCGCGGGACCCATATACCAGTCGTCCCCAACCCCCGGGCCGTGAACCGGTAGCAGTTCATGGACCGATTGGTACCGGAACGCACCAGAAATAATTAAATGTTTTTATTTATTGCATTATCTGAGTCTGGAGGCTCTTTAATTTTGAAAGTCCTTTTATCAGATTCTCTTGGTTAGGTCTTGCCCGCCAACATTGAGCCCACAAACAGCAAAATGACTCAGAAACAGATCAGATGTCTTTGGAAAGTTTCTTTGCAAAAGGGAAAAAGGTCCAGAGAAGAGACAGGAGAATGGATTTATCCTGGACTGGTAGGTGAGTCCCACATCACAAGGCCATTCTGCATGATATGCGACAACCGACTTCCTAATGAAGCTTCAACCTGCTTGGTAGCCCCCTGTGTGTTAGCAACACTTCGGGTGTCATTGTCTCCCAGATGGGGCCATCTCAGGGCTCCCATTGATTTTTCGTTATCATGAGTTAAAATTTTCATGAAAGTAAAATGTTTGTTTTTGTGGCACATCTGTATCTTATTTTGAAGGTGCAAACGTTACCATAACGACTACAGTCGGACAGCTTATGGGTCCTAAAATATATTAGGCAGATGGTTATAAGGCATGTTTGGTGTATTGCTGCAGCTAGAATGGCTCTCTTGTTCTGAAAGTACATTTTAAAGATAAATTATCTATCCATTTATCTAATATTTACGTTTTTTGAATCAGTTGCTCTCTCTAACATTTAAAGAAATATTTTACTGTCCCGGTCTTAAAATAAGCCAAGTTTTAATCTACATCATCAGATATCACATAAATCCCATAAAATATATTTTATATATATATATATATATATATATATATAATATATATATATATATATATATATATATATATATATATATATAATATATATATATATATATATATATATATTGCATTATCTGAGTCTGGAGGCTCTTTAATTTTGAAAGTCCTTTTTATATATATATATATATATATATATATATATATATATATATATATATATATATATATATATATATATATATATATATAGTGGATATCTACACTTGCATCACAAAGTATTTAGTTAAATTTCCTTTTAGAATGTAAATTTTAGGGTTTGCAGAGAAGATAACTTCTTCAAAGTTTTATCAGTTGGAAAGTTTCATGTTTTGTGAAACTTTGTTACCAGCTGAAATCTGTTGCTAATTAGAATCACAACACGTGTCTCTAGAGGAATCTGGTCCAAGACTACATAGTGGAAAATGACTGGAACATCTGAGTTAAGGAGGGGATTCCTCCTGAAACACATCTCAAAGACACCATGTGAAGTAAAACAGTCTGTGCTCCTCTGGCTGATAAAGGGTTTTGCAGGTGAGTGAAATACAGTCAATGGGGAAAATGTTAAGCATTTGTATTTTTTAACTCTTTTTGAGTAAACAGAAATTTACTGTTTTTCTGAAACTGGAACTACTTGTTCACAGCAGCAAAATGCATAATGGGACTGAACTTTCTGTCAATGAAACTTCCTCAAAAAGCTTCTCTGTAATCATCAAGGTGTGTGTGGTGATCCCGTTGTTCTGCGTCTTCCTGTGCTTCATCGCCGTCATGCTGCAGATCTTTGCCTCTCACGACAGTTTTTGGACACTTCCCGTTACATCCTGTTTGCACACATGCTGATCAACGACACCCTGCAGATCCTATCCTCTGTGTTACTCTTCCTCTGTGTGATGGGTCGGGTCAACTTACCTCTTCTGTTCTGTGTCCCTCTGCTCTTTGTATCTACCGGTACCTTCCAGAACACCACTTTGATTCTGGCTGCCATGTCACTGGAGCGTTATGTTTCCATTTTCTACCCTCTGCAGCGCCCGGCCTCCTGGCGCTCAGACCGTATCTGGATCATTACTCTGCCTCTGTGGATCATCAGCTTCACTTTCCCCATTATTGAGTTTTCCATCGGGAAGTACAGTCCCAATGTAGATGTCCTCTCTACAAACATGCTTTGCAAACCTGCTATTATTAACTCATCGCCGATCCAGGGACTGTATCGCTTTGTTGTGAATGTGCTTTTCTTTGCAGTGGTAAGTGTTGTCATCCTCTTCACCTATGTGAGGATTGTGATGGAAACCGGGAAGATGCGGCAGGACAGAGCTTCAGTGAGCAAAGCCAGGCACACTGTGCTGCTGCACGGCTTCCAGCTGCTGCTGTGCTTGCTGGCGTTTACTCAGCCTATTGCTGAAACTCTCATTGGACTCCACACAAACTGGCCAGCTGAGGATGTCGCCTTTTTCAATTATTTCTGCTTCATCCTGATGCCTCGCTTCCTCAGCCCGCTCATTTACGGCTTCAGGGATCAGAGTCTTAAAAAGCACATTGGGAAAAGATTCCTCTGCTGCTCACAGAATAGAAAACTCTTTTTCAAATAGTGACTCAGATATTAATCAGTTATAAATTGAGTTTTAAAATATGTTTCAGTCCTGTACCATCACAATATGTAAGTGAGACAGCTGTTAACCAAGTCTATTTTGAATTATGTTATTGTAATTAAATGACAATAATATCATTACGGAAGTCGTACAGTTAATTATAAAAAATGTTGTTACTTGCAAATGATATTTTTCATCGTTTTGTAACCACAGAGTCTTTCAGTTCAAGGACCAAAAGGACCCAGGGGTCACATTCCCTACTGTGCTCTTACACTGAGGTGAGAGGTTTGTCAAAAATTCATACATATTTTGATAGCAAGATCTTTGATCACTTTTATGAGGTACAGCCAAAAGTTAACAATAAGTTAGTTTGCTTCAAGTCTTACTTGTTTGCAGATTTATTCTTTTTGTAATTTCAAAAAAATTCAAGAAGTTACAACACAAAAGTTATCGTTGTGTGGAAAAGTCCTGTAAATTAACTGTGTGATGTTATTAAAATGAAATCTTCCTGCTGTCCCCTCTCTGCACTTCCGATAAAATTGTTTTTCATTAGTTGTTTAATATTTCCTACTCTTTTCCAAAACAGAAAAGCAGTGGTAAACAAGTTATTTTGCTCTTGGTTATATATGCACATGTTTTTCTCTGTCCTACTTCTCGCCTGTTGAATTGTTTTTGTTAAAATCTTTTTGAAATAAATACATTTGCCTGAAGAAAGCCCAACATCTCCTATGTGACTGCGAGAAAAGTAATTAGCGAAATGTTAATTATAAAGCAAAACTAAGATAAATCTGAGCTTTGTTGTAGAAACAAATTGTGTTTGTGTTGAGAGTTTAAAAGTGTGCTTGCCTTGGCGGAGTCCAACTCTCACCAGAACCGAGTCTGACTGACTGACTGCCGGTAAAGCCATGCACACTGTGCTGCTGCACGGCTTCCAGCTGCTGCTGTGCTTGCTGGCTTTCACTCTTCCCATCTCCAAAACTCTCATTGGACTCCAAACAAACTGGCCGGCTGAGGATCTTGCCTTTTTTCATTTCTTCTGTTTCATCCTGATACCTCGCTTTCTCAGCCTGCTAATTTATGGTGTCAGGGATCAGAGTCTGAGAAAACACATTGGGAAAAGATTTCTCTGCTGCTCACAGGAAAGAAAACCCTTTTTCAAATAGTGGCTCGGGTTTTAATCACATATAAACTGAAAATAAAATGTTTTAATGTTTAGTAATTATAACTAAGTCAGCTTTGAAATAATTAAATGACATTTTGGAGGATTTTAAACGACTCAAAAACTGTTTGCTTTTTCGGAGGTATTAGTGTCAAAAACATCCAATGGCCACATTTTTGACTGTGCACTTAGATAGTATATATGTCAAAAAATATATTTTTTGATAGTAAAATTATGAAAGCATTGAAACACTACCAATATAGAATGTTGTACATTAGCATTCCAAGCCAAGGAACATTTCTAAATACTTTGCAAATAGCTTTTACTAATTTTACACACTGGGGTGAGATACAGCTAACATTTAATAAGTAAAACTTTATCCAATTAAGTAAAGTAAAAGTTTATGTTGATTGATGATGTTAAGGGAAACAAATGAAAATAAAAGTGATGTGCAAAGCTATGGAACTTCAATAAGAGGAATAAAAAAGATCTCATATCTCGATATAAGTTGTTATTGATTTATTTGCCAGCTTATTGTGAGTTTCTTTAAATCAAGGTTAAAAAGCCACAAGTTTAGAGTTGCTTTCGATTCATAACTGGAACATAAGTCTCCATTGGTCAACCTGGTGTTGCTACTACAACTAACACTTCAGCTCTGCAGAGATTCAGTAATGAACAGTTCAAACTCATCTATCCGTTTTTGTCCCCCAAAAAACTACAAGTGATAAGTCTAGCAAACTCTTTTTCTGTGTTGTTGGAGACTTTTATGGTGAGAACATTTGATCAATGTTTGCCAGCCGGCACAGCGACACTTGCTACTCCATCTCCTGGGTTGCCACCAGACGGGCGAGAGAGAAAGTGGTAGGGAGGGAGCGCTGTGCTATTATACCCAAAGTGATGAAAGTTGTCCCAAGCCATCTCAAACAATGGTAAAATTCAACTGTTTGACCAAAGGTCAGTAGTGAGATGGTTTTAGGCAAAAGTTATGCCTAAAACCTTTATTTAGCTGCTGCACACCCAGGATTTCTGGATAGAATTAGACAGGACACAACCAGGGTACCAGGATTGTCTAATTAGGTTCCTAATTAAATAATTAGGAACCTAATTAGACAGTTTATCAGTAAACAAAAATTTACTTGAGTGTGAGTTTTGCTTTAAGAAAGTATTGTCTGTCATTGCATCTGAGCTGATTAAATTGTAAACTCATTCCTCTCATCGGGTGTTGTCAACCCAGGCTGCATCAACAGCAATTATCAAATCACTGATCAGAAAGAACAATTTGGACAAGTCACTACTTCAGCATTACAGGCCAATGTCCAACCGTACATTCATCAGCAAAACTACTGAAGTAACTGATAATTGCTGTCTTTGCAATAATTAACCCCTATGACGTCTTTGGGTTTAGTTTTCCTGCGTTCAGTACCGCTCATCACAATAATGAGACTATCCTAGTCAACATGTTCAGTGACATCCTCATAAAAACAGACTGTAGAAGAGCCACAGTGTTGCTTCTGTTGGACCTCAGCACAGCATTTGACAGTGCTGACCATGAAACATACAGGAATAAAAGGAGTAAACTAATGCAAAGGAATGAACTGACATGTCAATATAAAAAATCCACATTTTAATTGATCTCTGTGTTTTCTTTTTACAATATCAACTATTTAGTCCACCAACTGTGGTTATTTGCTGTACTATCTGGGTTAGGGTTGTCCTCCCCACTGATAGTCAAGAGTAGATTTAGTAGTAATGGCGCAGTTTGACCAGCAGATGTCGCCGAAGAGCAAAAAGCCCGTTAAAGGCGCTTTTTTTGAAACCTTATTATTATCATCATTATTGTTTTACAATTGTGCTCAATTGTGCTTTTTCTTAATAAAAAAAAGTTTCAAACACTGTTGCCTCAGCACAACTTCCAACAGGCCTCCTCTTTGTCAGAAGAGTTCATTGCGGCGCAGCTCCTCACAGAGAGAGGCGTGAAGCCGATCCCCGACCAGAACCGAATCATCCGGACGAGGAGCGGCGAGAGGCTCTCGGCTCATTCCGCGATAACGACGGACTGATGGAGGCTCGTGCGGCCGGCCTCCGTCTCTGCTGCTTCCTTGTCGCTGCTCTCGCTCTCCAGGCCGAGGGAGAAATGTACACGTCGCTCCAGAACGTGAGGCAAGCCATTGACGTCGAGAGGAAACTGATCGATTACCTGAGAGCTTATATCGACGGCGAGCAGCAGAGGCTGGAGGACATGAAGCGGTGAGCGAGGCTGAGTTCAAGGACTTTTCACCAGGATGGTAAAAGGAGAAATCTGTTGATTTCTCTGTCGCCTCCACTCCTTTTTGGTTTGTGAATGAAATGCAGCTTAATAGCTTAACTACTTGTATTTTTTAAACCGTTTCATTTATGTGATCTGTGGGGTTTTTCTCTTCTTTTTAAAAGGAGTGACTTTGTTGTAAAGTGTGAAATAATTAGTCATTATTGGCGTGCATTGATGCAGAACTAAGCAAGGCCTTGGGAAAGGAAAAAACAACAACAAAAAAACTCACAAACTTACACTTTATGTGTTTTCTCCAGTGTTAATATAGCTGCACGTATTTTCCTCTCTGTCTCTGTGTCCAGAACCAGAACCAGCCAATGATCCAAAGTGAAGTCACCTTTATGTGTTCAGAAAATTTCAGAAACAGGGCAGTTCAAAAAGCTTCCCATTGTAAAAAAAAAAAAAAAAAAAAAAAAAAACATTTCACAGCAATGAATTATGAAACAAGAAATTTATCTTTTGTTAAATATTCAAGCAAATATTCCTAAAATATATTGATCAGTGTTCCAGTTACTACTTATCAAAGGCATCTGTAAACAGGTGGAGGTTTTAGCCTTGATTTAAAGGAACTCGGTTTTTCAGCATCTTTGCAGCTTTCTGGAAGTTTGTTTAAGATTTAGAGAGCATAGAGCCTGAATGCTGCTTCTCCATGTGGGGATTCAAAGTAGACCAGAACCAGAGTGGTGATGGAGTCAGGTATGCTGAATACAAATCCAAGCCACATTTCAGAAATCCTTTTTTTTTCTTTCTTTTTTTAAATAAAACCGATTTTTGAATCATGTATTATTCTTTTGGTCCGTCATATAAAATGCATATACATCGAAGCTTATGGCTGCATTGTGAAATCTAATGGGTTGAGATAGTAAGAAATACTTGTGGAAGGTGTCAGGTTGTTACTCGGGTTCAGTATGTCTTTCATTTCTATTCTTTCCAGTCTGATGAGGACCATATGTGTTCACCTTTCTGTGACCCCCAATCTCATCTTTCACACAGGTTTCATGCCAAGGTGTCCGACCTCCACACTGAGCTCTACAAAGGTCCTGCAGCTGCAATGGTGAACCCGCTGGTGGCCTTCACGCTCGTCAAGCGGCTGCATTTGGAGTGGCTGAACGTCGTCTACAGCAATGAAGCTCAAGAAAACGCTCAAAGTGAGCTCTGTCCCTCGCCCTCCTCCGTATTGATTCCTGAACTTCTTCCGCTTTTTCAGCCGTCACAAGCAAACTTCAGCCTTCAGTAATGCTCCGTTCAGCCCTCAGGTCCAGATACGAGGAAGAGGAGGCTCACTTGCCCAAAGTGGAAGACCTCCGGGGGGCTGCAAAGGGGCTGATGAGGCTCCAGGATGTGTACTCGCTCCAAGTTTCAAGCCTGGTAAAGGGCCGCTTCCAGAGGGCCAGCGGTGGAGGTGTGATTGACGTCTGCTCGCCTGCTGTGTCTGTCTCGCTGTCTGGTGACGACTGCTTCCTGGTTGGGAAGGTGATCCATTGCACAGAGAAACTGATTCTTTCTTCATAAGGTCATATTCTATTGATATCAGCTCTCTGGTGAATAAGTGAGATTGCTTTGTTTAGGTGCAAACTTGTGGTTTAGTCCCGTAAATCAAAACGTTACCTGCCAAACTCTTCACAGCCCAGGAGGAAAAAGAGAAATTTTGAAAGAATAAAAAATGTCAAAAACCCAGAGAGATGGTAATTGCAGTGCATGCAAAAGTATTCACACCCCCTGAGGTTTTTCACATTTTTTCCCATCGCTACCACAAACTTTTATGTGTTTCATATGAAAATGTGGGGGAATTTAAAGCTGTGTTAAAGCTGCAGTATGTAACATTTAATAAAATGTTTTTTTTTACATATTTATTGAAATGAGACCGATGATATGTGAAACAACTGAGCTCCCTTGCCTTCTCCAAGTGTTAATTAGAAACAACCAATCAGAGCCAGAAGGCGGGACTTAGTGGTGTCAATCACCCTCCATGTTGCACTGGTCATCCTCCTACCCCCTTTGCTCTCCGCTATGCTGCAGCTAGCATAGCCTGTTGTGAATGCTCAGGCTAGCTAGCATAGCAACCGATGATGGCAGATAAACGGCTTTCCTGAAACAGTAAGTTGTTTCCTCACCAATAGCACATTTAGCAGCGAATACACTGCCATGATTTGCAGCGCTGCGGCCCTCCTCCTGGCTCTTCTGATTGGTTGTTTTTGGTTGAGAGCAGTGCATTTCTTAAATACATGGTAGCAAAAGAGACAAGGGCACAGGTTCACTTTACAGAAAGACAATTCCTTTAAAGAAACAGCCAGAGCTGGAATGTAATGGTTTGGGTTCAAACATGTTCACGTTGTTTGAATGTCTCAGTTAAAGTCCAGACTTGACTGAGAAAAAGTCGACAAAGTCTTTCCACTCACTCTGTGACCTTCAGATAATTCGCAAAGAACGGAAACGTCTGGACAAACGTAGTAGAGAGTTTCTCCAATGAAAGGTGCTACTAGAAAGTTTTGAGATCACATCTATCTTAATGCACGCCACACCTTTCAGATTTTTATTTGCTATGAGACCTGTGTATTTTGTGTCCATTTTTAAATTATGCTATATTTGTATGTGCACATAGAATCCCAGTAAATACCCTGAGGTTTGTGGTGAGGATGTGAAACAATGGAAAAAATGTTGAGGGTTTTAGCCAGACAAAGACCACACACATGTTTTCTATAAGTTCACTGTGGGCTTCACAGAAGCAGACCAACAGTAAATATGAACATCAGGCCAAAGACAGAACATGAAATAACAGGACAAGTTGTCTGAGGAAAGAAGGAAAATATGAAAAAAAAAGTTGTATGTTTCCATTGTTTAAGCTGCACTATACATGATAATATAATTTAAGACAGACAATGTGTCAAAAAATCTGAGCTCCTGTGTCTTCTTCCAGAGCTCCAAGTGCTAATTGCAGAAATGCACCAGTCAGAAACAACCAATTACAGCCAGAAGGAGGAGGTTTTCAGCACTGTCAATCACTCCCATGCTCATCCCTCCCATTTGCTGTTTCTAAGCAACTATCAAAGAGCTGTAGCTAGTCTAACCTAGACAACATTCACCACAACGTTTGCTAATTTAGGCTAAGGCGAAATTGACTGCTCCTCAGATTGTTTCACATCTGGCCTTAGACCTGATATAGTTGATCATCTCCCTGAAGATGCAGTCAGATGTTGATTGTTGCAGATTTCTGATGATCCGGAAATCACAAAGAGACCACAAACATATTCACTGCTTCGTTTAAAGGGGCGGTATTATGTATTGGCATCTTATACCACAGTCAAGAAACTATGTTTTCTTCAGTTGTTATAAAAATGCCAATATATATATATATATATATATATATATATATATATATATATATATATATATATATATATATATATATATATATATATATGTATTGTGGTATATATTGTGGTATATATATATATATATATATATATATATATATATTATATATATATATATATATATATATATATATATATATATATATATATATATATATGTATTGTGGTATATATTGTGGTATTTATATATATATATATATATATATATATATATATATATATATATATATATATATATATATATATATATATATATATAAATGGAGTCAAAATCTTACAAAGTTGTTATTTGTTCTTCTATGACAGGTCCACAGCAGCACAGAGAGAATCTGAAGGAGCTCTGATTCAGTTGTTGCTCGTTTGACACATAACTAAAATTAAAAATGTTGCCTGAATGCTGGAACACAACAGAATACCTGATATAGTTTATAAAATACTGACTCAACAAATCATTTAATATCAGAATAAAGTATTTCTTTCATCGTGCACAGGTGGCCTATGAACAGGAAGACTACTACCACTCGGTGCAGTGGTTGGAGGAGTCGGTGCGTCTCTTCAGGGGAGCCGCAGGACAGTGGATTCCTGAGAATGAAGGGACCTTAGAGGACGCTCTGGATCACCTGGCTTTCTCCCACTTTAAAGTAGGAGAGCAGAGAAACGCACGTTGGTCCCATGTTTGACTGCAAGGACTGTTCTAAATTCCTCTGTTTGATTCAGACAGGAAATGTCTCGTATGCCTTGAATTTGTCTCACGAGTTACTGCATCACGGTGAGTCTGCACCTCCATTTCGCAATAAGAGCAGTGCCTGCACCTTTTTTCAACATTTTACTGTTTCAAAACCTAAATTCTTTGTGATAGACTGAAACAAAGTGTTGCGTAATTATGAAGTGAAAGCTCATTTTTAAGTTTGCCACACGTTACAGCTAAACAGCAGCAGAAACCGCTCTCTGTTTTTGCAAACGCTTGTTCTTTGACATACAGTACTAAGGGAAATTTCAAGAAGAATGAATGGTTTGTAATAAGACTGTATCCAGCCTTGGTGACTCTTTGCACGCGTTTTGTTTTCCCAGATCCAATGAATGCACGGGTGTTGCAGAATGTTGAGAAATATGAGAAGCTGCTGGGTTCTGTTGGTCCAACCAGGGAGAGCAGCTTAGGAAGACCTGGCTCCTCTTTCTTAACGACACGGGACACTTATGAGAGACTGTGCCTGACTCAGGGCTCCCAGGTATTTATCAGCATTTTACTCTTCACGTAGTGTCCTGTAGTAACATGTAGCTCAACTATCAACATCCACATTGTCTGCCAATGTGTCATTTTGAACCAGTAAAGTAATGAAAATAAGGCCCGATCAGAAACCGTCGTTTAAGCATGGATCCACCCATAATATCGGTTATAATATTGAAACAGTGACGTGTTCCAAAGTCTAAAATTAGTGCTCACATATCCTTAAATATGAAAGAGGAGGCAACAATAACGCCTGTCAGGAAGGTTGAATTTCGCCCACAGTTACAAGACCTACTGCCGGACTCGTACCGATGTATTTCTAATCAAAAAATCATACCTTCGTGACTTCAGGGCACCGATATGAAAGACTTTGAAGTTTGGTGAAAGACATTGGATGATGGCAAGTAATTAAAAAACCCACTCAGAAACTGTAGATTGTCCTGAGCTGGACCCAGAAACACCAGGTGGACGACAGCAGGCAGCTCCTCGTTAGTATAGTGGTGAGTATCCCCGCCTGTCACGCGGGAGACCGGGGTTCAATTCCCCGACGGGGAGAATACGTCTTTTTTTTTTTATCTGCAACATACACCCTATGCTGTAAATTTTGTATAACATCTGTCTTACAAGCAGAAAAATGGGGAGTGCATTGGCCGGGAATCGAACCCGGGCCTCCCGCGTGGCAGGCGAGAATTCTACCACTGAACCACCAATGCTTACATTCCCTCAACACTTTTCCTCTTTGTTCAGACACACACACATTCTTGTTCTTCCACCTAACTGGGACCTTGTTACTGACTTCCATGAATATCAGTACTAGACTCATGCCTTCCCTAAACAAGGGGGTTCCACGCTATTAGGATGGGGCTTTGGTGATAAGTCTTCAGGAGATAATATTGGTTGTAATGTTGAAACAGTGACGTGTTCCAAAGTCTAAAATTAGTGCTCTCATATCCTTAAATATAAAACAGGAGGCAACAATAACGCCTGTCAGGAAGGTTGAATTTCGCCCACAGTTACAAGACCTGCTGCCGGACTCGTACCGATGTATTTCTAATCAAAAAATCATACCTTCGTGACTTCAGGGCACCGATGTGAAAGACTTTGAATTTTGGTGGAAGACATTGCATGATGGCAAGTAATTAAAAAACCCACTCAGAAACTGTAGATTGTCCTGAGTTGGACCCAGAAACACCAGGTGGACGACAGCAGGCAGCTCCTCGTTAGTATAGTGGTGAGTATCCCCGCCTGTCACGCGGGAGACCGGGGTTCAATTCCCCGACGGGGAGAATATGTCTATTTTTTTTTATCTGCAACATACACCCTATGCTGTAAATTTTGTATAACATCTGTCTTACAAGCAGAAAAATGGGGAGTGCATTGGCCGGGAATCGAACCCGGGCCTCCCGCGTGGCAGGCGAGAATTCTACCACTGAACCACCAATGCTTACGTTCCCTCAACACTTTTCCTCTTTGTGCAGACACACACACATTCTTGTTCTTCCACCTAACTGGGACCATGTTACTGACTTCCATGAATATCAGTACTAGACTCATGCCTTCCCTAAACAAGGGGTTCCACGCTATTAGGATGGGGCTTTGGTGATAAGTCTTCAGGAGATAATATTGGTTGTAATGTTGAAACAGTGACGTGTTCCAAAGTCTAAAATTAGTGCTCTCATATCCTTAAATATAAAACAGGAGGCAACAATAACGCCTGTCAGGAAGGTTGAATTTCGCCCACAGTTACAAGACCTGCTGCCGGACTCGTACCGATGAATTTCTAATCAAAAAATCATACCTTTGTGACTTCAGGGCACCGATGTGAAAGACTTTGAATTTTGGTGGAAGACATTGCATGATGGCAAGTAATTAAAAAAACCCACTCAGAAACTGTAGATTGTCCTGAGCTGGACCCAGAAACACCAGGTGGACGACAGCAGGCAGCTCCTCGTTAGTATAGTGGTGAGTATCCCCGCCTGTCACGCGGGAGACCGGGGTTCAATTCCCCGACGGGGAGAATACGTTTTTTTTAATCTGCAACATACACCCTATGCTGTAAATTTTGTATAACATCTGTCTTACAAGCAGAAAAATGGGGAGTGCATTGGCCGGGAATCGAACCCGGGCCTCCCGCGTGGCAGGCGAGAATTCTACCACTGAACCACCAATGCTTACGTTCCCTCAACACTTTTCCTCTTTGTGCAGACACACACATTCTTGTTCTTCCACCTAACTGGGACCTTGTTACTGACTTCCATGAATATCAGTACTAGACTCATGCCTTCCCTAAACAAGGGGGTTCCACGCTATTAGGATGGGGCTTTGGTGATAAGTCTTCAGGAGATAATATTGGTTGCAATGTTGAAACAGTGACGTGTTCCAAAGTCTAAAATTAGTGCTCTCATATCCTTAAATATAAAACAGGAGGCAACAATAACGCCTGTCAGGAAGGTTGAATTTCGCCCACAGTTACAAGACCTGCTGCCGGACTCGTACCGATGTATTTTTAATCAAAAAATCATACCTTCGTGACTTCAGGGCACCGATGTGAAAGACTTTGAATTTTGGTGGAAGACATTGCATGATGGCAAGTAATTAAAAAACCCACTCAGAAACTGTAGATTGTCCTGAGTTGGACCCAGAAACACCAGGTGGACGACAGCAGGCAGCTCCTCGTTAGTATAGTGGTGAGTATCCCCGCCTGTCACGCGGGAGACCGGGGTTCAATTCCCCGATGGGGAGAATACGTCTTTTTTTTTTATCTGCAACATACACCCTATGCTGTAAATTTTGTATAACATCTGTCTTACAAGCAAAAAAATGGGGAGTGCATTGTCCGGGAATCGAACCCGGGCATCCCGCGTGGCAGGCGAGAATTCTACCACTGAACCACCAATGCTTACGTTCCCTCAATACTTTTCCTCTTTGTGCAGACACACACACATTCTTGTTCTTCCACCTAACTGGGACCTTGTTACTTCCATGAATATCAGTACTAGACTCATGCCTTCGCTAAACAAGGGGGTTCCACGCTATTAGGATGGGGCTTTGGTGATAAGTCTTCAGGAGATAATATCGGTTGTAATGTTGAAACAGTGACGTGTTCCAAAGTCTAAAATTAGTGCTCACGTGTCCTTAAATATGAAAGAGGAAGCAACAATAACGCCTGTCAGGAAGGTTGAATTACACCCAAAGTTACAAGACTTGCTCCCGGACTCGTACCGATGTATTTCTAGTCAAAAAATCATACCTTCGTGACTTCAGGGCACCGATATGAAAGACTTTGAATTTTGGTGGAAGACATTGCATGATGGCAAGTAATTAAAAAACCCACTCAGAAACTGTAGATTGTCCTGAGTTGGACCCAGAAACACCAGGTGGACGACAGCAGGCAGCTCCTCGTTAGTATAGTGGTGAGTATCCCCGCCTGTCACGCGGGAGACCGGGGTTCAATTCCCCGACGGGGAGAATATGTCTATTTTTTTTTATCTGCAACATACACCCTATGCTGTAAATTTTGTATAACATCTGTCTTACAAGCAGAAAAATGGGGAGTGCATTGGCCGGGAATCGAACCCGGGCCTCCCGCGTGGCAGGCGAGAATTCTACCACTGAACCACCAATGCTTACGTTCCCTCAACACTTTTCCTCTTTGTGCAGACACACACACATTCTTGTTCTTCCACCTAACTGGGACCTTGTTACTGACTTCCATGAATATCAGTACTAGACTCATGCCTTCCCTAAACAAGGGGGTTCCACGCTATTAGGATGGGGCTTTGGTGATAAGTCTTCAGGAGATAATATTGGTTGTAATGTTGAAACAGTGACGTGTTCCAAAGTCTAAAATTAGTGCTCTCATATCCTTAAATATAAAACAGGAGGCAACAATAACGCCTGTCAGGAAGGTTGAATTTCGCCCACAGTTACAAGACCTGCTGCCGGACTCGTACCGATGTATTTCTAATCAAAAAATCATACCTTTGTGACTTCAGGGCACCGATGTGAAAGACTTTGAATTTTGGTGGAAGACATTGCATGATGGCAAGTAATTAAAAAACCCACTCAGAAACTGTAGATTGTCCTGAGCTGGACCCAGAAACACCAGGTGGAAGACAGCAGGCAGCTCCTCGTTAGTATAGTGGTGAGTATCCCCGCCTGTCACGCGGGAGACCGGGGTTCAATTCCCCGACGGGGAGAATACGTCTTTTTTTTAAATCTGCAACATACACCCTATGCTGTAAATTTTGTATAACATCTGTCTTACAAGCAGAAAAATGGGGAGTGCATTGGCCGGGAATCGAACCCGGGCCTCCCGCGTGGCAGGCGAGAATTCTACCACTGAACCACCAATGCTTACATTCCCTCAACACTTTTCCTCTTTGTGCAGACACACACACATTCTTGTTCTTCCACCTAACTGGGACCTTGTTACTGACTTCCATGAATATCAGTACTAGACTCATGCCTTCCCTAAACAAGGGGGTTCCACGCTATTAGGATGGGGCTTTGGTGATAAGTCTTCAGGAGATAATATTGGTTGTAATGTTGAAACAGTGACGTGTTCCAAAGTCTAAAATTAGTGCTCTCATATCCTTAAATATAAAACAGGAGGCAACAATAACGCCTGTCAGGAAGGTTGAATTTCGCCCACAGTTACAAGACCTGCTGCCGGACTCGTACCGATGTATTTCTAATCAAAAAATCATACCTTCGTGACTTCAGGGCACCGATGTGAAAGACTTTGAATTTTGGTGGAAGACATTGCATGATGGCAAGTAATTAAAAAACCCACTCAGAAACTGTAGATTGTCCTGAGCTGGACCCACCCAACACAGGTGGACAACAGCAGGCAGCTCCTCGTTAGTATAGTGGTGAGTATCCCCGCCTGTCACGCGGGAGACCGGGGTTCAATTCCCCGACGGGGAGAATAAGTCTTTTTTTTTTATCTGCAACATACACCCTATGCTGTAAATTTTGTATAACATCTGTCTTACAAGCAAAAAAATGGGGAGTGCATTGGCCGGGAATCGAACCCGGGCCTCCCGCGTGGCAGGCGAGAATTCTACCACGGAACCACCAATGCTTACGTTCCCTCAACACTTTTCCTCTTTGTGCAGACACACACACACATTCTTGTTCTTCCACCTAACTGGGACCTTGTTACTTCCATGAATATCAGTACTAGACTCATGCCTTCCCTAAACAAGGGGGTTCCACGCTATTAGGATGGGCTTTGGTGATAATTCTTCAGGAGATAATATTGGTTGTAATGTTGAAACAGTGACGTGTTCCAAAGTCTAAAATTAGTGCTCACATATCCTTAAATATGAAAGAGGAGGCAACAATAACGCCTGTCAGGAAGGTTGAATTTCGCCCACAGTTACAAGACCTGCTGCCGGACTCGTACCGATGTATTTCTAATCAAAAAATCATACCTTCGTGACTTCAGGGCACCGATATGAAAGACTTTGAATTTTGGTGGAAGACATTGCATGATGGCAAGTAATTAAAAAACCCACTCAGAAACTGTAGATTGTCCTGAGTTGGACCCAGAAACACCAGGTGGACGACAGCAGGCAGCTCCTCGTTAGTATAGTGGTGAGTATCCCCGCCTGTCACGCGGGAGACCGGGGTTCAATTCCCCGACGGGGAGAATATGTCTATTTTTTTATCTGCAACATACACCCTATGCTGTAAATTTTGTATAACATCTGTCTTACAAGCAGAAAAATGGGGAGTGCATTGGCCGGGAATCGAACCCGGGCCTCCCGCGTGGCAGGCGAGAATTCTACCACTGAACCACCAATGCTTACGTTTCCTCAACACTTTTCCTCTTTGTGCAGACACACACACATTCTTGTTCTTCCACCTAACTGGGACCTTGTTACTGACTTCCATGAATATCAGTACTAGACTCATGCCTTCCCTAAACAAGGGGGTTCCACGCTATTAGGATGGGGCTTTGGTGATAAGTCTTCAGGAGATAATATTGGTTGTAATGTTGAAACAGTGACGTGTTCCAAAGTCTAAAATTAGTGCTCTCATATCCTTAAATATAAAACAGGAGGCAACAATAACGCCTGTCAGGAAGGTTGAATTTCGCCCACAGTTACAAGACCTGCTGCCGGACTCGTACCGATGTATTTCTAATCAAAAAATCATACCCTTGTGACTTCAGGGCACCGATGTGAAAGACTTTGAATTTTGGTGGAAGACATTGCATGATGGCAAGTAATTAAAAAACCCACTCAGAAACTGTAGATTGTCCTGAGCTGGACCCAGAAACACCAGGTGGACGACAGCAGGCAGCTCCTCGTTAGTATAGTGGTGAGTATCCCGCCTGTCACGCGGGAGACCGGGGTTCAATTCCCCGACGGGGAGAATACGTCTTTTTTTTTATCTGCAACATACACCCTATGCTGTAAATTTTGTATAACATCTGTCTTACAAGCAGAAAAATGGGGAGTGCATTGGCCGGGAATCGAACCCGGGCCTCCCGCGTGGCAGGCGAGAATTCTACCACTGAACCACCAATGCTTACATTCCCTCAACACTTTTCCTCTTTGTGCAGACACACACACATTCTTGTTCTTCCACCTAACTGGGACCTTTGTTGCTGACTTCCATGAATATCAGTACTAGACTCATGCCTTCCCTAAACAAGGGGTTCCACGCTATTAGGATGGGGCTTTGGTGATAAGTCTTCAGGAGATAATATTGGTTGTAATGTTGAAACAGTGACGTGTTCCAAAGTCTAAAATTAGTGCTCTCATATCCTTAAATATAAAACAGGAGGCAACAATAACGCCTGTCAGGAAGGTTGAATTTCGCCCACAGTTACAAGACCTGCTGCCGGACTCGTACCGATGAATTTCTAATCAAAAAATCATACCTTTGTGACTTCAGGGCACCGATGTGAAAGACTTTGAATTTTGGTGGAAGACATTGCATGATGGCAAGTAATTAAAAAAACCCACTCAGAAACTGTAGATTGTCCTGAGCTGGACCCAGAAACACCAGTGGACGACAGCAGGCAGCTCCTCGTTAGTATAGTGGTGAGTATCCCCGCCTGTCACGCGGGAGACCGGGGTTCAATTCCCCGACGGGGGAGAATACGTCTTTTTTTATCTGCAACATACACCCTATGCTGTAAATTTTGTATAACATCTGTCTTACAAGCAGAAAAATGGGGAGTGCATTGGCCGGGAATCGAACCCGGGCCTCCCGCGTGGCAGGCGAGAATTCTACCACTGAACCACCAATGCTTACGTTCCCTCAACACTTTTCCTCTTTGTGCAGACACACACACATTCTTGTTCTTCCACCTAACTGGGACCTTGTTACTGACTTCCATGAATATCAGTACTAGACTCATGCCTTCCCTAAACAAGGGGGTTCCACGCTATTAGGATGGGGCTTTGGTGATAAGTCTTCAGGAGATAATATTGGTTGCAATGTTGAAACAGTGACGTGTTCCAAAGTCTAAAATTAGTGCTCTCATATCCTTAAATATAAAACAGGAGGCAACAATAACGCCTGTCAGGAAGGTTGAATTTCGCCCACAGTTACAAGACCTGCTGCCGACTCGTACCGATGTATTTTTAATCAAAAAATCATACCTTCGTGACTTCAGGGCACCGATGTGAAAGACTTTGAATTTTGGTGGAAGACATTGCATGATGGCAAGTAATTAAAAAACCCACTCAGAAACTGTAGATTGTCCTGAGTTGGACCCAGAAACACCAGGTGGACGACAGCAGGCAGCTCCTCGTTAGTATAGTGGTGAGTATCCCCGCCTGTCACGCGGGAGACCGGGGTTCAATTCCCCGATGGGGAGAATACGTCTTTTTTTTTTATCTGCAACATACACCCTATGCTGTAAATTTTGTATAACATCTGTCTTACAAGCAAAAAAATGGGGAGTGCATTGTCCGGGAATCGAACCCGGGCATCCCGCGTGGCAGGCGAGAATTCTACCACTGAACCACCAATGCTTACGTTCCCTCAATACTTTTCCTCTTTGTGCAGACACACACACATTCTTGTTCTTCCACCTAACTGGGACCTTGTTACTTCCATGAATATCAGTACTAGACTCATGCCTTCGCTAAACAAGGGGGTTCCACGCTATTAGGATGGGGCTTTGGTGATAAGTCTTCAGGAGATAATATCGGTTGTAATGTTGAAACAGTGACGTGTTCCAAAGTCTAAAATTAGTGCTCACGTGTCCTTAAATATGAAAGAGGAAGCAACAATAACGCCTGTCAGGAAGGTTGAATTACACCCAAAGTTACAAGACTTGCTCCCGGACTCGTACCGATGTATTTCTAGTCAAAAAATCATACCTTCGTGACTTCAGGGCACCGATATGAAAGACTTTGAATTTTGGTGGAAGACATTGCATGATGGCAAGTAATTAAAAAACCCACTCAGAAACTGTAGATTGTCCTGAGTTGGACCCAGAAACACCAGGTGGACGACAGCAGGCAGCTCCTCGTTAGTATAGTGGTGAGTATCCCCGCCTGTCACGCGGGAGACCGGGGTTCAATTCCCCGACGGGGAGAATATGTCTATTTTTTTTTATCTGCAACATACACCCTATGCTGTAAATTTTGTATAACATCTGTCTTACAAGCAGAAAAATGGGGAGTGCATTGGCCGGGAATCGAACCCGGGCCTCCCGCGTGGCAGGCGAGAATTCTACCACTGAACCACCAATGCTTACGTTCCCTCAACACTTTTCCTCTTTGTGCAGACACACACACATTCTTGTTCTTCCACCTAACTGGGACCTTGTTACTGACTTCCATGAATATCAGTACTAGACTCATGCCTTCCCTAAACAAGGGGGTTCCACGCTATTAGGATGGGGCTTTGGTGATAAGTCTTCAGGAGATAATATTGGTTGTAATGTTGAAACAGTGACGTGTTCCAAAGTCTAAAATTAGTGCTCTCATATCCTTAAATATAAAACAGGAGGCAACAATAACGCCTGTCAGGAAGGTTGAATTTCGCCCACAGTTACAAGACCTGCTGCCGGACTCGTACCGATGTATTTCTAATCAAAAAATCATACCTTTGTGACTTCAGGGCACCGATGTGAAAGACTTTGAATTTTGGTGGAAGACATTGCATGATGGCAAGTAATTAAAAAACCCACTCAGAAACTGTAGATTGTCCTGAGCTGGACCCAGAAACACCAGGTGGACGACAGCAGGCAGCTCCTCGTTAGTATAGTGGTGAGTATCCCCGCCTGTCACGCGGGAGACCGGGGTTCAATTCCCCGACGGGGAGAATACGTTTTTTTTAATCTGCAACATACACCCTATGCTGTAAATTTTGTATAACATCTGTCTTACAAGCAGAAAAATGGGGAGTGCATTGGCCGGGAATCGAACCCGGGCCTCCCGCGTGGCAGGCGAGAATTCTACCACTGAACCACCAATGCTTACATTCCCTCAACACTTTTCCTCTTTGTGCAGACACACACACATTCTTGTTCTTCCACCTAACTGGGACCTTGTTACTGACTTCCATGAATATCAGTACTAGACTCATGCCTTCCCTAAACAGGGGGTTCCACGCTATTAGGATGGGGCTTTGGTGATAAGTCTTCAGGAGAATATTGGTTGTAATGTTGAAACAGTGACGTGTTCCAAAGTCTAAAATTAGTGCTCTCATATCCTTAAATATAAAACAGGAGGCAACAATAACGCCTGTCAGGAAGGTTGAATTTCCCCACAGTTACAAGACCTGCTGCCGGACTCGTACCGATGTATTTTTAATCAAAAAAAATCATACCTTCGTGACTTCAGGGCACCGATGTGAAAGACTTTGAATTTTGGTGGAAGACATTGCATGATGGCAAGTAATTAAAAAACCCACTCAGAAACTGTAGATTGTCCTGAGTTGGACCCAGAAACACCAGGTGGACGACAGCAGGCAGCTCCTCGTTAGTATAAGTGGTGAGTATCCCCGCCTGTCACGCGGGAGACCGGGGTTCAATTCCCCGACGGGGAGAATATGTCTATTTTTTTTTATCTGCAACATACACCCTATGCTTTAAATTTTGTATAACATCTGTCTTACAAGCAGAAAAATGGGATGCATTGGCCTGGAATCAAACCCGGGCCTCCCGCGTGGCAGGCGAGAACTCTACCACTGAACCACCAATGCTTACGTTCCCTCAACACTTTTCCTCTTTGTGCAGACCACACATTCTTGTTCTTCACCTAACTGGGATCTTGTTACTGACTTCCATGAATATCAGTACTAGACTCATGCCTTCCCTAAACAAGGGGTTCCACGCTATTAGGATGGGGCTTTGGTGATAAGTCTTCAGGATAATATTGGTTGTAATGTTGAAACAGTGACGTGTTCCCAAAGTCTAAAATTAGTGCTCTCATATCCTTAAATATAAAACAGGAGGCACAATTAACGCCTGTCAGGAAGGTTGAATTTCGCCCACAGTTACAAGACCTGCTGCCGGACTCGTACCGATGTATTTCTAATCAAAAATCATACCTTCGTGACTTCAGGGCACCGATGTGAAAGACTTTGAATTTTGGTGGAAGACATTGCATGATGGCAAGTAATTAAAAAAACCCACTCAGAAACTGTAGATTGTCCTGAGCTGGACCCAGAAACACCAGGTGGACAACAGCAGGCAGCTCCTCGTTAGTAGTGGTGAGTATCCCCGCCTGTCACGCGGGAGACCGGGGTTCAATTCCCCGACGGGGAGAATACGTCTTTTTTTTTTTATCTGCAACATACACCCTATGCTGTAAATTTTGTATAACATCTGTCTTACAAGCAAAAAAATGGGGAGTGCATTGGCCGGGAATCGAACCCGGGCCTCCCGCGTGGCAGGCGAGAATTCTACCACTGAACCACCAATGCTTACGTTCCCTCAACACTTTTCCTCTTTGTGCAGACACACACACATTCTTGTTCTTCCACCTAACTGGGACCTTGTTACTTCCATGAATATCAGTACTAGACTCATGCCTTCCCTAAACAAGGGGGTTCCACGCTATTAGGATGGGGCTTTGGTGATAATTCTTCAGGAGATAATATTGGTTGTAATGTTGAAACAGTGACGTGTTCCAAAGTCTAAAATTAGTGCTCACATATCCTTAAATATGAAAGAGGAGGCAACAATAACGCCTGTCAGGAAGGTTGAATTTCGCCCACAGTTACAAGACCTGCTGCCGGACTCGTACCGATGTATTTCTAATCAAAAAATCATACCTTCGTGACTTCAGGGCACCGATATGAAAGACTTTGAATTTTGGTGGAAGACATTGCATGATGGCAAGTAATTAAAAAACCCACTCAGAAACTGTAGATTGTCCTGAGTTGGACCCAGAAACACCAGGTGGACGACAGCAGGCAGCTCCTCGTTAGTATAGTGGTGAGTATCCCCGCCTGTCACGCGGGAGACCGGGGTTCAATTCCCCGACGGGGAGAATATGTCTATTTTTTTATCTGCAACATACACCCTATGCTGTAAATTTTGTATAACATCTGTCTTACAAGCAGAAAAATGGGGAGTGCATTGGCCGGGAATCGAACCCGGGCCTCCCGCGTGGCAGGCGAGAATTCTACCACTGAACCACCAATGCTTACGTTTCCTCAACACTTTTCCTCTTTGTGCAGACACACACACATTCTTGTTCTTCACCTAACTGGGACCTTGTTACTGACTTCCATGAATATCAGTACTAGACTCATGCCTTCCCTAAACAAGGGGGTTCCACGCTATTAGGATGGGGCTTTGGTGATAAGTCTTCAGGAGATAATATTGGTTGTAATGTTGAAACAGTGACGTGTTCCAAAGTCTAAAATTAGTGCTCTCATATCCTTAAATATAAAACAGGAGGCAACAATAACGCCTGTCAGGAAGGTTGAATTTCGCCCACAGTTACAAGACCTGCTGCCGGACTCGTACCGATGTATTTCTAATCAAAAAATCATACCTTCGTGACTTCAGGGCACCGATGTGAAAGACTTTGAATTTTGGTGGAAGACATTGCATGATGGCAAGTAATTAAAAAACCCACTCAGAAACTGTAGATTGTCCTGAGTTGGACCCAGAAACACCAGGTGGACGACAGCAGGCAGCTCCTCGTTAGTATAGTGGTGAGTATCCCCGCCTGTCACGCGGGAGACCGGGGTTCAATTCCCCGACGGGGAGAATACGTCTTTTTTTTTATCTGCAACATACACCCTATGCTGTAAATTTTGTAACATCTGTCTTACAAGCAGAAAAATGGGGAGTGCATTGGCCGGGAATCGAACCCGGGCCTCCCGCGTGGCAGGCGAGAATTCTACCACTGAACCACCAATGCTTACGTTCCCTCAACACTTTTCCCTCTTTGTGCAGACACACACACATTCTTGTTCTTCCACCTAACTGGGACCTTGTTACTTCCATGAATATCAGTACTAGACTCATGCCTTCCCTAAACAAGGGGGTTCCACGCTATTAGGATGGGGCTTTGGTGATAAGTCTTCAGGAGATAATATGGTTGTAATGTTGAAACAGTGACGTGTTCCAAAGTCTAAAATTAGTGCTCACATATCCTTAAATATAAAAGAGGAGGCAACAATAACGCCTGTCAGGAAGGTTGAATTTCGCCCACAGTTACAAGACCTGCTGCCGGACTCGTACCGATGTATTTCTAATCAAAAAATCATACCTTCGTGACTTCAGGGCACCGATATGAAAGACTTTGAAGTTTGGTGGAAGACATTGCATGATGGCAAGTAATTAAAAAACCCACTCAGAAACTGTAGATTGTCCTGAGTTGGACCCAGAAACACCAGGTGGACGACAGCAGGCAGGTCCTCTTAATATAGTGGTGAGTATCCCCGCCTGTCACGCGGGGAGACCGGGGTTCAATTCCCCGACGGGGAGAATATGTCTATTTTTATCTGCAACATACACCCTATGCTGTAAATTTTGTATAACATCTGTCTTACAAGCAGAAAAATGGGGAGTGCATTGGCCGGGAATCGAACCCGGGCCTCCCGCGTGGCAGGCGAGAATTCTACCACTGAACCACCAATGCTTACGTTCCCTCAACACTTTTCCTCTTTGTGCAGACACACACACATTCTTGTTCTTCCACCTAACTGGGACCTTGTTACTTCCATGAATATCAGTACTAGACTCATGCCTTCCCTAAACAAGGGGGTTCCACGCTATTAGGATGGGGCTTTGGTGATAAGTCTTCAGGAGATAATATGGTTGTAATGTTGAAACAGTGACGTGTTCCAAAGTCTAAAATTAGTGCTCACATATCCTTAAATATGAAAGAGGAGGCAACAATAACGCCTGTCAGGAAGGTTGAATTTCGCCCACAGTTACAAGACCTGCTGCCGGACTCGTACCGATGTATTTCTAATCAAAAAATCATACCTTTGTGACTTCAGGGCACCGATGAAAGACTTTGAATTTTGGTGGAAGACATTGCATGATGGCAAGTAATTAAAAAACCCACTCAGAAACTGTAGATTGTCCTGAGTTGGACCCAGAAACACCAGGTGGACGACAGCAGGCAGCTCCTCGTTAGTATAGTGGTGAGTATCCCCGCCTGTCACGCGGGAGACGGGGTTCAATTCCCCGACGGGAGAATATGTCTTTTTTTTATCTGCAACATACACCCTATGCTGTAAATTTTGTATAACATCTGTCTTACAAGCAGAAAATGGGGAGTGCATTGGCCGGGAATCGAACCCGGGCCTCCCGCGTGGCAGGCGAGAATTCTACCACTGAACCACCAATGCTTACGTTCCCTCAACACTTTTCCTCTTTGTGCAGACACACACACATTCTTGTTCTTCCACCTAACTGGGACCTTGTTTACTTCCATGAATATCAGTACTAGACTCATGCCTTCCCTAAACAAGGGGTTCCACGCTATTAGGATGGGGCTTTGGTGATAATTCTTCAGGAGATAATATTGGTTGTAATGTTGAAACAGTGACGTGTTCCAAAGTCTAAAATTAGTGCTCACATATCCTTAAATATGAAAAGAGGAGGCAACAATAACGCCTGTCAGGAAGGTTGAATTTCGCCCACAGTTACAAGACCTGCTGCCGGACTCGTACCGATGTATTTCTAATCAAAAAATCATACCTTTGTGACTTCAGGGCACCGATATGAAAGACTTTGAATTTTGGTGGAAGACATTGCATGATGGCAAGTAATTAAAAAACCCACTCAGAAACTGTAGATTGTCCTGAGTTGGACCCAGAAACACCAGGTGGACGACAGCAGGCAGCTCCTCGTTAGTATAGTGGTGAGTATCCCCGCCTGTCACGCGGGAGACCGGGGTTCAATTCCCCGACGGGGAGAATATGTTTATTTTTTTATCTGCAACATACACCCTATGCTGTAAATTTTGTATAACATCTGTCTTACAAGCAGAAATGGGGAGTGCATTGGCCGGGAATCGAACCCGGGCCTCCCGCGTGGCAGGCGAGAATTCTACCACTGAACCACCAATGCTTACATTCCCTCAACACTTTTCCTCTTTGTGCAGACACACACACATTCTTGTTCTTCCACCTAACTGGGACCTTGTTACTGACTTCCATGAATATCAGTACTAGACTCATGCCTTCCCTAAACAAGGGGGTTCCACGCTATTAGGATGGGGCTTTGGTGATAAGTCTTCAGGAGATAATATTGGTTGTAATGTTGAAACAGTGACGTGTTCCAAAGTCTAAAATTAGTGCTCTCATATCCTTAAATATAAAACAGGAGGCAACAATAACGCCTGTCAGGAAGGTTGAATTTCGCCCACAGTTACAAGACCTGCTGCCGGACTCGTACCGATGTATTTCTAATCAAAAAATCATACCTTCGTGACTTCAGGGCACCGATGTGAAAGACTTTGAATTTTGGTGGAAGACATTGCATGATGGCAAGTAATTAAAAAACCCACTCAGAAACTGTAGATTGTCCTGAGTTGGACCCAGAAACACCAGGTGGACGACAGCAGGCAGCTGCT